TTATAAAAGTTCAAATTTTTGTCCTCATGCTATGATGACCACACATGCACATTACAAAGCAAAAATGGATATTGCCACTTGCTGCAATGAGAATGCTCTGTTGTAGATTCTAAGAAAAAGTTGGGACGCTTATTTTTTTACAGTCTAGAAAGGTTAGACAAGGGTTTAATAGCTTAGGTGCAATTAGTTTAATTTAACATTTTATTAATATAATCTGGAGTACAGAAATATATGTTATGTTGTCCATTACAGTGTTTCCATTCTTGGAAAAACATAAAATTTCGATAACTAAGAAGAACTACGTATTTATAAAGTTTTTACTTATTTCAGAAAAATTCAAGCAGATAAAAGTTATTCTCTCCTTTTTTAAATAGATTTCTTGGACTTAAATAAAAATGTAGGAAACAGAGATGCATATGTAAGCTTTAAAATATGAAAGCAAACTACTAACTTTAATTTCACAAGAGTTGTTTTTAATTTCGCTACTTCCCCTTCCTATCCTATCATAACTAAATTTATCTCATCTCAAAATTAATCTGCATCATGCTATCTTATGTAATGTGCAGCACTGCAAATATCTTTCCTCGTCAGACGAAAGAAACTTTTAACAAGCCCACATTTTTGCAGACTGTGCACTTATATTTTTGCTTTGCTGCCTGCTATTAACACATGATTCTTGATCATACTATTAACACATGAAAAGCCTTCACATTTCCAGGACAAACAATTTCTCCAGCTTTCATTAGGCATTCCTTGATGAAATCACCGTCAGTAAAAGGCTTCGAATGTTTAGCTATCAACTCAGACAAGACGTAGCTTGTATGTACCGCCGCTTCACTTTCTTGCAATACTTTACTAAACATGGACCGTTCTTTTTCACTCCTAACTTGAGCTCTTTCAACTTATCTTCTCTCATTAATCCTTCGTAATTGTTATATTTCGATTTGTGTTGTTCGTAATGACGTTTAATATATATAAACTTTGGTACATAATAATAGTATTATTACATATCAAGCAGATTATTTTATCTTTTATTTCACAGCAAAAATATTCTAATTCCCATTTTACTTGGAATATTCTATGTTCGTCAGCGATTTTTCGTTTAATTTTACTACCACTTGGTTTTGATATAGACATACTGAATACAAAGGGCTGGAATAAACACGGTTAACGTTAAAAAGTTAACAAAAATTTATTCTTTCCACAAGAGATAAATCAAAATGCTGAAATATTTCTTCAAAAATATTCTAACAATATCACAAAATGTCAAACGTTTAGCAAAAATCAATTCAAAACAGAGAAACTAATTCTATCTCACAGCGAAATCGCTACAAATCAATCACAGCATTAAGTAAACAAACAGTTCGCTAGAACTACAGCTACTACTGAGATGAGTTGTTTGTTCTCGGCTTTTATAAGCTTTATAATTAATTTCTCGAATATACTGGAAACATCTATAAATATCTGGATTTTTGTGGATGGCAACAGCAATTACGAGATATTTATTTATTAGGTATTAAATGCACGCGCTGTTCTATTTTTAACCTTCCAACGCAGCTGTCTTTTCAAAAATCGTCTGCGTTGCTAAGGCAACATGAAGCAAATCTAATTACAATTCTAAATAAAAAAAAACTAAATAAATAAATAACTATGAAATCCGTAACAATATGAATTAAGTAATAATTAATAATAAAGCAAAGTGCATGCACATGCATGCACCAATATATCGTACAAAACTATGATTGGAAAACTGAGACCATGAGTTCGGCCACATTCGGCTATCGGGGGATGCGTACAAGTTCTGAGTGCACGTGTCCCCCAAAAGCCGAAGGTAGCTGAACGCAAGCTACTCACACGCATTTGTAATTTAAGTAGTGTGTGTGTGTCAGTTCGCTGTGCGTAATCTAACAACACTGAATAAATTATCGTTAATTACTTAGCAGTAAACATTTCATTTTTTTCTTCATCGATATGTTATTTTATTATTATATATTATTATTTGCCGATATATTGGCCGAGCCGCAAAAATATTTGTTGTGGGGTTCGACATCCTTGCCCTACAGTGATGAGTGATTGAGAATATGTATCTCAAGAATGTCCAGCAATAAATTAAGTCTTGTTTCAGCCAGATCTGTCTATAGATGCCATCTTTGTATTTATGCAGAGAAACTTTTGCTAAACTGCTGCAACTATTACCCAAGTTAACATTATTTAACAAGATCTATAAATAGAAGAAAATTGTGCTACCTCCCTGGAAGACTGGGGAAGGGATCTATATTTAGAAAAAAGATTTCTGCTTTAAATCAGCTACATTCTCCATTCAAAATAGGAACAGCATTTGATATCGAGTTTGCCAATACAATTTCCATTGGCTAAAAGCAAACAATAATTCAATATAAAGCACTTAACCAAATTTAAAAATTTCATTCATTTGCTAACTTTCAATCAATAAAAATTTGTTTATTTTACTGATATTACACAATAATATAATTAAGGTATAATTTCATACTTTTCAACAGATCAACAATTAAAATGGGAGGGATTTTCTATGTATTTTATATTCACTATATTTGCATACACCATAGCTGCCAACCTTGAAATATGAACAAACAGGAAGTTCTTGTGCCCCCAAATGGGAATTTATGGAAGATTTTTGCCTGCAGCATTCCAAAAGACCTCCAAATTGTTTAAAATTCACTTTATAATTTAGGTTATTCAGGTGATTATAGTACGATTCTGAAGTAACAAATATTCATATTTAATTATATATTTTATGTTTATAAGTTGATTTCTTTTTCTAATTTTCTTATACTTTTAAAATTGAGAAAATCCTGAGCAAGGAAGAAAAGCTTAAATTTATCTCAGCAAGCATGACAAAAATAAAATTAATAATTAACGCACATACTATTGTAATGCAAAATTTTAATGCAGGTGTTAATTTAATTAATGTGAATTACAGATGCTTTAAAAAGTTAAAATAAAATTATTTGGATTTGCATAGCAGAAATTTAATTTTTGAAAGTATAAAGCCATTTTATAGCTTTAGATCCCCCCCTTCAGGATTCTCATTGTTGGGAACTGCTGAGTGAGGCCAGACATTGGACAGGGTGTTTTTCTGAACATCTCGATAAGAAATTAGTGGGAAATAAATGACTTGATCAGTGTTTCCTCAACAAAATTTCTTAGCAGGTTATGTGTGTGAATGAATAACTGGTGTCTTTACTTTGTTGGATATCACAGTTTTGATAGACAAATGGATTTTTTTCAAATAGAAAAAAAACATTAAGCTTTTTTGTTTCAAGATGCAATTAAAGACAATTTTGACTTAACCCTTTTTCTGTAAAATTTCTCTGCTTTCAAAGGATAATGAGAGTTTTTGAAGTTTCTTACGGGTGTTGGTGAGCCATTTCCAGATGGAAAATTGGATGACAATCTTGAAATATTCAACACAATTTTTTTTCAATTGCTCAGGGGGTTAATTTTAAATTGATTTTAAACTTTGTATTGGTCACAGCACAATTTTAATTCTCTTATTCAACTTAAAAATTTTTGCAAGTGGAGAAAGTGAGTTTTCCTTGCAGGTTGCATGACAGCACAGATCAGATTTGGCTGAAATTTGAAGAATGTAAGAAAAAGAGAAATGGGGTTTCCCATGGCCAGGCAGCCTGGATAGACCCTTTAAGACTTGCATTTTCCCAGCTATAGGAGCCTGGAAAAATTGACTGGATCCTGTCTCGATCAGTGACATTAATTTCATTACATTTTTTACTTAACTTGTAGTACCTGAATGCGAAATGATCTCATCATTTTGACTCAACATATAGTTTAAATGAAAACAACAGCAACAAGATCTGACTGCTTAGTTCTTGAACTGGGGAATATTCTTGAAATTTGATACATACTCATTGAATAACATGAATAATTTATCATTATGTGAACTCGTGATTGATTTAATTATGTATGGTGTTTAATTCATTTAAATATGTATGTATGACTGATTTAATTATATTTGTGAAGCTGCATACCAATGCAATCCAGTGAAATGAGTTTATGGCTATCTTTAGAGAGTTTAGAAGTTATTGCGAATTTTGTTTTCCAGATTCTATGGTTTTTAGAAAGTCATCTTAAAGACTTTAATGGTATAGATTTAAAAGAGAAATAGCATTTTTAGATTATGGAAATGAATTGAATTTTCATCATTACTGGAAAATAATTTATGTTTTCATTTTAATACCCAAGCACCAGATACGAATCTATCTCACTTTACTTTCAGTGGTACTGATTAATGAATTTGAATTTTGAAATAAATTAATTTACCTTTTTAAAGACATGTATTTCAGTAATTTTGGTTAATTTCAATCATGTGTATCCAGCATCAAAAAGTTTAGCTTAGAGCAAAGAAATTTTAATTATTCTAAAATTTTTGACATAACTATACTACTGTGTGAATAAACTTAATAATGTACCACATATTAATGTAAAACAAATTTAAATACACATATTAGCTGACTAAACATTAGTTGAATCTTCATATGAAATTCTACAAATGTGTACAATAGATCAAGACAACAAAGATCAAATAAAATTTAATAAGAACATAATACTGAAAATTACTAGGGGTGGGGAAATGAAATTTGCATAATTCAAGTTTCATTAATTCAATAAATTTCATTTACTGCTGAAAAACATTTTCATTAGTAAAGGCTAAAAAGTAAAAATTGGGAGATTTGGGGACCTACCAGGAGATATGATAAAAATTCAAAAGTTTCCCGATAAAACTGGAAGAGCTGGTAACTGTGATATACAAATATTAATATTCTGATAAAACACTTTACTAAAGCTTTGCAATATTAATGAATAATATTTTATAACTACAGATAATAAACATTATCTTTTTACTTGTGTATATTTTTACCTGTGCTAAAATAGAAAAGCAAACCAATAAAACATAAAACATTGCCTAAAAATGCAAAAAATTACACTAATTATATATTCTATACCTATTCCTGAATGTTTCATCAATACTTTCAATTACATCTTCTGAGAGAGATTTAGGAGGCTGCCTCAACAACCAATGTTTGCCCTGGAAATAAGATGTAAAAAATCATAAGGAAGGTGACTGTAATCAATTATCCTTATTTATTAAGTATTATCAATGGGATAATACAAAAGAAAAGAGGTTCTAATTCCTAAATTCATTATCAGGGCTGCTGTAAAGCATATTCAGGTTGAAAAACTGTCAATGCAAATGAACTGCATCAAACACTACAGTGGAGGTTGCCATATTAAAGGAATGACAATAATTTTCTGTCATGTACCCAACCATATAACTGAAGATACAGTGTGTTGCTGCACAGCTTGTATGAAGATCAGAGGTGACCACGTTCTTTATTACAGAAAGAACTATTACACAATAAATTATTACAAATATATCTAAATATATTTCATTTACAATAACTTTTAGTCAAGAATACATAATCATAGCTTTTCTATTTATGCAATATTTACTAATGTGTGCTTAACATTTGCAAAGCAAAATAAATATCAATGATGAAGACCTGTATTTAAACAGTTTCTATTAGCTAATTTTTTTTATAATTTTTAATTAATATCTATGTTTTAAATTATTAAATTTATTTAAATTAATTTAATTAATATCTATATTTTTAAAAATTTAATTAATATCTATATTTTTATAATTAATTACTTTATTCTCGACTTTCACAAACGTCCATACTTTAAGATAATTATTATAAAAGAAAGTCAAAAAGCAAAATATTTTAAATTTGAATCTAATACAGTACAAAGTCCGTAATCCGGACCTCAAAGACCACAAACTTTTTTTTTGTATGCTTTACGCCTGCATGTTCAATGTATAACTGACAGTATAAGCTAGGCTAAAATCCTCTTTACTGATTCTAAGGCATTTCAGTTAATGTTGCAGATTGTGCTGTTCTTTAATCTTCTAATTGGATCCGCATATCATTTTTTTGCAGACTGTTAGAGCAATTTCATAAAAATTAAGCTTGAACTTTCAAATTATGTCAAAAAGAGTTTCCAATTCTGGAGCTGCCAAAGGATCTACAAAGCATGTTTTGATGTCCATCAAACAAAAAGTGGAATTGCTGCAAAAAAATGGATAAAGGCATATCCTTCTTTAAATTATGTGAGGCATATCACATTGGAAAGTCAACTGTATATGACATAAGAAAAAGGAACTTTTTGAATTTTTTGTGGAAGCAACTTAAACAACTTACATTGAAAGATATGTTTAATAAAGTAAACAAATAAATACTAAGCTTTATCTTTTGTGAATTTGATACCTTTTAGATCATAATTGCTCTTTATTTCATTAATTACAATTTCATATTTTTAATAAGTATAATTATTGCATGCCATCTTACCAGATTTAATCTGATGATCTATAATCCAGAAAAACCCCTAATCCAGAATCGCTAAAGTCCCGACGATTCCGGATTATGGACTTTGTACTGTATATACCAAGTGGCAAATAATTTCCTGACTGGATAAAGGTAGTCATACTACTCAAAAAGTTTAGATATTTAGAAAACATAATATATGCATATTCAATGGATATTCACTTTTAAGTCGATTATGAAAAAATACTAACTAAAAAATCTGATGTGGACACCATATGACTTCCCAACTTAATTAACCACTCCCTCAAGGCAAGTTAAAAGTGGCACCAAAAATTGCAAATTTTGAAATTAAATACCTCAGTCGGTTTTTGCCTGACAGAATTCAAATCACATACCCAATTTCATAATAATTGGTTAATGTGTGCCACAATTTCTTGATGTTCGCTCATTTTGCATAAATAATCCTTAATCATAATTTATACTGAAGCAATGAAGCTATAATGTAAAAACAAAAGGCCTCTTAAAATTTCTACTCTTAATTTTTTAATTTATTGTGTTTTAACAAAAGTTTCCCGCCACCACATGAACTGTCTGTACAAACAGTTTGTGTTGCCATGTTTAACCAAATTTTGTCAAATGATTTTTGGTGTTTGAAAAAAAAGTGACTTGCTTTAGGACACTGTGTTGTGAAATTTATAAAAGAATATCATTATCATTAAGTACAAGGTGTCTGAAATGGAACTATCACACTACTAGATTATAACCATCATTTACTTCCTATCCTGTTTCAAAAAGTCAGTTACAGAATATTACCAAATCATGTGTACAGCTTTAGGTACTAATGTTGTATCATATGACACTGTGAAAGTTTGGTGCTGAAAGTTCAAAAACAAGGACTATGACATTCAAGAAGCAGAGCGCTCTGGCCGCCCTACTGATGTTGATGAGGTTTGCCTGTGAGAACTTGTGAAAGAAGATCAGTATGCAAACCTTCAGGGAGCTTCCTAAGAAGTTAGACATCAGTGCCATGCCCATTAGTCACGCTATGCATCACAAAAACTTGATGTACAAGTTCAATCGTTGGGTGCCGCATGAGCTGTCTCAACCAGATAAGGACAGACGTTGTTTGGGCCTGCATTAATCTCCTCGAATATCAATGTAAAGACAAGGATCATCACTTGTGATGAAAAGCAGATTTACTTCAACAACACAGGCAGAAAAAGGGGTTGGTCTACGCCCAGTGAACCCTCAACAGCGTCACAAAGCGCAATTTGAATAACAAAAAGATCATGTTTTATACCTGGCGGGATTGCTGTGGTATTATCCACAGAGTATCTGGGAAAAGATAAAAACCCTCGACAGTAAAGTGTACAGCTAGACGCTACTCCATGTTGATGCTGCTATCAAGGAAAAACATTGGACTGAGTTCCGGTGCAGAAAGGTAATGTTCCATTATGATAATTCAAGACTACATGTGTCTGCATTCACCAGCTGGACTCTGTATGGATTCAAATGGGATCTTTTACCACACCCACCATATAGCCCCGACATCGCTCCTTCAGACTTCTACCTTTTTTCCCATCTGAAGCTGCATCTTGCAGGTGCTATCTTCCATTCTGAACAGGATGTCTGAAATAAGGTGTATCTGTTTATGGGCACACAGCCACCAAGTTTCTACATTGAAGGCTTTGAAAAACTATGAAATTGCTGGTAGACAATCATAGATTTGGGTGGTGATTACTACCCACACTGAAGGTACTGCTTTCATGATTTTTTTTTTTTTTTCCTAATTTTATTAAGAACGTTTTTTGGCAGAAAACTTTTGTTACAACCAGCTATATTTCAACACACACTTTTCAAATATCTTGAATTTAGATTTTGTTTTTTTAAATTCAAATCAATTTCTGCATTTTTTATTACTTTCTAATTAAGTGTAATGCAAAAATCGTTTATAAGGAATAGCTATCAGCTGCCATTATGTAATGCTTGAAGTTTACTAGGTTATGGGAGTTACAAAGTGATGCTTGTAATTTAAAATAATTGACCAAAATCAATTTTCCTTCAGGAAAAAGTAAAATTTTTGATTTCTTATGTCTTCAGAAATTATAATTAATCTCCTAAAGAACTTTTTATTTATTTTTATTTTATTTTATTTTATTTTATTTTATTTTATTTTTTTATTTTTTTTTTTTTTTTTTTATTTTTTTTTTTTTTTTTTTGGTTTGTTTTTTAGAGAAGAACTGAATAATAAAACTTTTAAAAATAATTTATTATACAAAAATTAATTTCACTTTTAGCTGCAGACACTAGTAACTTTTCTGGTACATGTTACATGGCATGTTGCTTTGTATTATACCTATCATTTGAAATTTTTTATGTGGAATGTGGGTTGCTGCTCATAATCACCATTTTCACTTAGATTGTTTTGCACTGTATAGAATTTCATCTTAGTTTAAAAGGCACTTTTCAGTTTGAATATTGATAATACCTAGAAAAACAATTTCGTGAAATTATTGAAATATTATTAGAAACATTAAAGTCTACTAGGATAATTTTTGGATATACAAACAGAGCAGATTCAACAGCATGGAAGAAGTGTTAAAATTTCTGTCTAAGGACTGAAAAATTAATAATAAAATAAATCAACAGCTTAATGAAATTAGAAAATAAATAAAAAAAACTAACATTATACAGTACAAAGTCCATAATCTGGACTCATCGGGACTTCCGTGATTCCGGATTATAGATCATAAATTTAAATCTGGTAAGATGGCATGCAGAAATTATACAATTAAAAATATGAAACCGTAATTTATGAAATAAAGAGCAGTTATGATCTAAAGGGTATCAAAATTTACAAAAAAAAAAAAAAAAAAAAAAGCTTAATATTCATTTGTTTACTTTATTAAACATTTCTTTCAATGTAAGTTGTTTAAGTTGCTTCGTTTTTTGTGCTAATACTTTCTCTTTAATTCTATAAACAGACATAATTTCTTCTTCAGTTACAAAGTTCCAATGTTCAAGTCCTGTAATTGCTCTGTCCAGAATACCGACTAAATTATCAATCGAGATTTTTTCTTTTTCAATAAGCTCTCTGTCACTTTCTTCACTATCGGAAGTGGTATTTTTTGGATCTAGAACCATACTACAGATTTTGCCGTCCCTTAATTGATTCATGATTGAGGCATTGTCGTCGCAATGAAAAACTTCTGTTATATCATCTTCATTTATTACCGCTTCTCCAAGTTTCTTAACAAAATCCAATAACTGGAAAATTTCACCTTTAGTTTGTGATGTCCGAAAACCTTCAAATTCGCGGCTATCATCTTCATCATCCTCCTCATGAAATATGGTAGTAGGCCATAAATTATACCAAGCATTTTTAATGTATCTGGAGACACATCCTCTGAACGTGCTTGCGCATGAATAAAGCAAACAAAAAAAAAGTTTGTAGCTTTGAGGTCCGAATTATAGATCATTCCAGAAGACGGACGTCTGGATTATAGACTTTTTACTGTATTACTATACAATTTTCTTTAAAATTTGGGCTACCAGCAAAAAATATATACTTTTTATACAGTCAAAAGTCGTTAATTTGGACATCCAAAATCCGGACCTCAAAGCTACAAATTTTCTGCGCATGCGTCAAAGGGACGCATGCGCATAAGACCTTTACGGCTGCGAATATGCTTGTGCACGTGCG